CCAAGATCGTTAAATCCAGGCAAAGCTACAGCAATGGCCATCTGCCCTATCATTGTTCATTTTATTACTTAGCGCGCGCGCTCATGCATGACGTGGCGAGTGAATTTGCGTGCGCAGTAAGGATGCGCAGAAACATGTAGCGCGAACGTCCTTAAGATCAAACATCCAAACACTGTCATGGTTATGGCTTCGTTTGTTTAACCAAATAATGATTCTGAGAGTAGATGTTGAACATGATATTCTGCAGCCAGGCATGCACATTAAATGGTAAAACAAGTTAGTTATCCGACATTTGGGCAAACAGGTTGTCCGCTTCTAATTTTGCCATACTCTTGGGAAAAAAATCAAGTTGCGCATACGATGGAAATATTACAAACTTGATATTTCTGAAGACATTTATTTTGTATGTTTCAAGCTTACAACAATTTATTCCATAAACATGAAAATACCAGAGATGGTCAAAAATGATACATGTAAGGGTAAGGGTTTAGCCCTCGGGTGGGATCCTCCCCATAGAAAACTCAATCCATCGGTTTAAACAAATCTCTCGGTCTGATCTTCATTTCAGCCCTCGTAATTAGGTGAATGCCACTCCATAAGTCAGGTCCCTGGCCCTCTTCGTTCGGATAGGCACCATTCAGGTTGCTGTATTTACAGCTATTGTACCACCAGGCTCCTTGCACATCCGGTTGCGTGGCACAGTGAACGGGAGCTCGGTCGTTATCCCGATCTTTTGTAGAGAATTTACGGCCATTATGATAAGCCAGCTTATCTCCAGCATTTCCTAAACCAAATATATCGGAAGACTAAATAAGAGAACGAACTTCAGTGCAGTCCTCGAACGAAACTTTCGAAAATAATTTCACTTCTAATTTCCTTTGTTAAACCTGTTAAAGGTCCGTGGGTGCAGTAGTCGAACGGTTTGAGATAAAACAATGGATATTTTCAGAAAGATATTAGCATTGGACATGATGAATTACTAGGAGTATTTGCCCAAGACCTAGCGAAATAGTACGTATATCTCAAGAGCTACCTTTCCTTCGTACTAAGGCCCCGTTGGAAAGAGGGACAGGTGAGTCTGGTGACGAAAATGCCCACAAAGAACGGGAACGCGACTGAAACGGGTTTTTGTCTCTTGCTAATTTCTCCCCTGAAGACATCCGCCTCTCTTACATGCTGACTTTTGCGGAAGAAAGAAAGATAGAGAGAAACAAAACAAAGCTACAAGCAGCTTCCCTTAATTGGCTGATCAGGGGCGCTTTCCATTCAACCAAATCTTCCGAAATTTTCAAAACAGAGAAAAATGGTAGGGAAATTTCCTGGGAAAGGTTTCAAAAAATCCGTAAATGTTTGAATTTCAGAAAAGCGAACCATTCAACCAAAAATTACGGAAATTATAGGATGAAAATCAAATGGAACGGAAATTTCGAGGAAAACGTTTACCAAAATTTGGGTAATCCTCAGGAGGTTGTCCTCTTTTTCGGAAATTATGTAAATTCGCAATTTTCTATTCAGCGCTCTTTCTTTTGGGGGGGATCACAGCGAGTTGGACATCCCACACAAAGATTACGGCACGCAGTTGTCCGTTTCGTAAACGGTCGATGCCATTTACACGACACAGTTTTCTCTACTAAATCAAAGAAAAGAATATTTGTGAGTAGCCATTCAGTATCGTGCCCGGAATCGTCCTCTGTTTCCTAACACAACACTACCAGGTTGATCCGCCAAATCTCCGCAAAATGTAATCATAAAACGTGACTTTCTTAAATATTAATAATGGTAATTGAACTGAGTGGAGTGCAATTTGGTCTGAAATCATACGCGTGATTTCAAAATC